TTTTTATGGCTGATAATAATTGTACCAAAAATGTACTTAATTGTACCGCAATTTATTTTTAATTGTACCTTACTCGATTTAAATTGAAGTGCCCCGAAATTTGAACCCCAAATATTATCCAAACGAGTAAGGTACAATTAAAAATAAAATGTCTTACATACGTAAGATGAACTTTTCCGCACTGTGATCCACAACATGCATTTATTACAAATCCTTTACTCAAAGAATTTACGAGAAAACTGAATATGACATTAGTTTTACGATAAAAATGGGAATATTTGTATCGGAGCCATGCCTATATGATATCGTAATCATGTGAAAATTTGCAGAGGTTATTTTTTTCACAAAAAGTTAACATTCCGAAAGTTTGAAGAAATTTCAATGCATATTAGGGATACTTCCCATACAAAATTTCGTTTTTGAGCGAAAAATCCAAAATTTTGTTTGGGAGGTACCCCTAATATGCGTGGAAATGTCTTCAAACTCTCGAAATGGTATTTTTTTGTGATAAAAATAACCTGTGCAAAGTTTCAGCTCATTACGATATCATACAGACATGGATTTCATACATAAATTCAATTTTTTTGAAATTTTTGTATGAAAAGTATGTCGAAAGTTATTTTTATCGCAAAACTAACGTCATATTCGGTTTTCTCGTACCCAAAAACCCCCCAATACATATTTTTGAGTGTTTAGGAATACACCAGACATGACACGGCACTCTATCAACCAAAGTCGCTCAAAATCTAATGGTTTCTATTCCTCGGCACCCCCAATCATCCTGTGAAGTCAGATTTTGAATTACTTTTCTTGTTTGAAAGTTATCGTGTTAACAAATTTTTGCGTACAGGGTACAGCGTACAGCGTACAGGGTACCACGCACATACATTCGGACATCGAAAAAACGATTCTAGATTCGTGTTCCCTGGCTCCTGAAACACCCAGAAAACATGTTTTTTTAGGGTGTTAATTTTTCGACCGATTCCAATACTTTACCTTACACACTAGGTGTGTGCGGAAAAGTAATAAATTGCGGTACAATTCAGTACATTTTTGGTATATACAATTATTTAAACCTAGTCCCAAGTTTCAACTTTTACATGTGTGGACATTCGACTATACATCCAAAAAAAGCCAAAGAATTTACTCGTATTAAACGTAAGCTACTTAAAAAGAAAATATCAAAAACAACTAATTTTCTGATAATGTATGTGTAACAGCAATGTTCGACTAGAAATTAAAATTAATAAATATTGACCCATTATATTCCAGATCTTATAATTTTTTTATTTGCTTTTTTCTTATTTTTTTCTTTATCATGCTGAATTTCTGCTTAGTTTCTGAAGTTTGTAGAATATGTAGATTATTTATTTTTCTTATTTACAAACAAAATGTCTTACATAAGTAAGTCTAACTTTTCCGCAATATTTCCAAAGAAGCCATATGAAAACCATAGAATTATTGCCTAAAACGAAAAAAAAAAATAAAGTTCACATATAGTTGGCGCTGCATTCTATGCAAACTTAATTTCCGTTGCAACGGACTAAGTATACATAAGCGCGCCTGATTTGTTTCATACATGTAATTCTATTCTCAATTACACATATTTCCGCAATGTAATAATAATTCAATTTAATGACCACAGCTTCAACAATCAAATGTCCACCTACAAATTGGTGTCGAGTTTTCAAAACAGGCATTGATTAAAACTTAAGTGCATAATTTAGTATAAACAGCGGCTGTTGCAGATGAAATACTCGTCTTCTTTTTTATGAAACCATAAATTCATCTCATGACCACATTTTGAACATTTCGCTCCAAATTGGAAGAAATTATTAACTATACCAGCCTCCTGTAGGCTCAACAAAATTATTTTCTCTAAATTGATTTTATTCATTATGTAAATGAGTCTAAACACAACTGCAACTAAAGATTGTATTGACAGCAACACCATCGCATATTTTGTGTATCGATTGTGTTGGCAAATCGTAACGGAATTAAATTTCTAATGCGCAATTAACAACATGAGATGCGTGTGCCACACAGATATGATGCTATTTAATTATAAGACGCAATATCCATGTGTCCCTAAACTAAAGTTATGTCTATATGATCTAGCAGTTTTTCGGACGATTAGGAGACAATTGACGTAGTAAACAATACAAAATATGTGTATTACGTCTTCTTATGATGACAGGTTTGTTCAGTAAATCACCCAAAATAAGTTTTTTTGTGGTTATCGAAATTGAAATCGTTGTTTTTTGCATAAAATTTGTGTTTTCATAATGTCAACACCTGATACCAGTCCATTCTCAGGCACCCCCAATCATATCGTAAAGTCAGAATTTGACTTAAGTTTCCGGCGTTTTTTTGTTATCGTAATAAAAAAAGTAAAATTCGAAACATTTTCCTTTTCTTACATTTTCTACAAAATTCATGTAGATTATTCATTTTTTTGCATGTAAATTACACTGTATATTATACACCAGTAATGTGCGAGCTACATTTTACAGGGGGGGGTGATTTTTCAAAAACCAAAAATTCTCTAGCAAATCAAACAAATTTTCGTTTTTTTTTTTTTTTTTTGGAAGTCACTTTTTGAGGCGAAAATCCCTAGCAAATCGAAAGAATTTTCTCCGCGAAAAACCTTAGCAAATCGAAAAAAAAACTCTCGGAACCAAAAACCCTAGCAAATTTGAAGAATTCTCCTCAATTTTCTACATTGATGAGCTAAAAAAAAAAAAAAAAAGGTCTTCACTTTTTTCATGAAAAACCCTAGCAAATTCGAATAATTTTCGCGAAAAAAAATTTCTCATCCAAATCACAGGGGGGTAAACCCCCCCCTACCCCCCCCTTCGCACATTACTGTTATACACATACATAATGTAGAATATACACGTGTATAATCTACGTAACAATCCAGGTTACGCGAGTAAATTCTTTGGTTTGTTACAGAGTATCATTATTTGCTGCTGCTTAGCATATGACTGAGAGCTGAGTAATGTTGAGCTCGTACGGCTAATGCATACGAAACGGATGCACGATACATATTCCCCTTTCGCTTCGTATGTGCTGCCGTTGACGCTATTGCCGCTGCTGTTTCACTTACGCGTGAAATACAACGGTATCAACGGTACCACACTATACCAGCGAACATACGAAGTGAAAGCAAGAGATGAGATGCGATGTGCTGCTTTTGCTCTCAGTCTCTCATATATTATTCTTCACTTCGTATGTTCGCTAGTATAGTGTGTTACCGTTGATGTCGTTGTATTTCACGCGTAAGTGAAACAGCAGCGGCAGCACATACGAAGCGAAAGGGGAATATGTATCGTGCATCCGTTTCGTATGCGTTAGCCTACGAGTTCAGCATTACTCAGCTCTCAGTCATATGCTGAGCAGCAGCAAATAATGATACTCTGGTTTGTTATTTCAATAGAATGTTCTCATTTTTATAAAGTAAACTGACAATTAGAAACATCTGTGGGTTTTGGTAATTGCAAATATCAAATGTGCAAAAACAAGTTTTTAACGTTAAAATGATAACGTTTTACAAACAGTATAAATACAAGACAATATTTGCAGTCAATGTTATAAGTCATTGCTTCTTATAAAGTTAAGGTCTTAAGAAGTTCCAAAGTGATTAAAATGAAGTGTTCAACTGTTTTATTTGGGCTAGCTTTGACATTGGTAGAAATTAGAGGTTGGATTTGAGAATAAATGTCTTAATTTTTATTGATTGTTGACAGATTCCTTTGATGATCAATGAGGCAGAAGGAGGAGATCCGAATACTACTGGTCGTAGTGGTTCAGGCAGTGGTAGTAGAAGCAGGGTTTCACAAACAGCTGCTAGCTCATCCCGAATGGCTCGAAAAGGTGGATATGCTCAAGATGATTCTTCTTCCACAAGGTATACTTTTAACTTCAAATATTGTAAAGAAAACGAAAGAAGTTAATAGGTTCTGTGTAAGTGAATGGCAAGATGTTCAGCCATTGAGCTTGAGCCGGAGAATTTAATTTTTTTTTAATTTGCGACTCACTCACAGTTACACTAACATGAAAATGAATTAAAATAAAAAGTTTTATTTGTACAAGATCTTTCTGCTGTTATAGTATAATTTTTCAGTGTTATTTTAATTTTATTCGCACAATATCTTTTCTCGTTTAAAGCCAATACGACTTTTACTACCCGTATTAGAAGAATTCATGCTTCGTGTACACACGGCACATCTTCGCTGCTTAGGCGAATGTAAGCAGCAGAATTCACTGCGACATGTTCGAAAAACATCAAGTAGCCATATGTGAATGTTTCATTCTCTTTTGTGCGAACTTTCTTTGACTGTGTATGGCTGTGAACAAACACATGTATAAGATGCACAACAGTTCGCAGTGAACTCAACGGCTGATATTCCGTAAAGCAGCGATGATGTGCCGAGTATACACGAAGCGTGAATCGTTCTAATACGTGTTACTGAAGTCGTATTGGCTTTAAACGAGTCTATTTCAAATGATTTTCATTTTTTATTAAATTTGTTTAGGTCCGGTCGACGTATTCCAAGTTCTTATGGAGAGGAAAATCCAATATTTGATTTTATCAGAGCGCATGGCGGAAACAAACAACCATATTTTGCTAATCGAAGTGTTGATGAATCTAAATTTGTGGGTCCATCTCAAGGTTATACAGTTCTATTAAATACTTTTTCTTACCCATTTGTTGGAAAATGTTTGTTTCGATGAAATTTATCCAAAGCCCTTTATAGCACAAAAACAACCAATTTTACCAAAAAACTTTCATTTTCTTGACTCTGTGAATTTATAAAACATTACGGTTTTCAAAAAGACATATGTTTTTCATGTTGATTTGTTTTTTTTTTTTTTTTTTTTTTAAATAGCCACAAAAATATGGATGCTCTTTAGGCATGGAATTCGTTCAGCAAAAGAGCGAGAGATCAACAAGCTATCTGGTCTTACAAACGTAAGTAACAATAATCATAATAATATATAAAAAATCGGCCAAAGATTAGGCAATTCGTTCGCATTTTCAAATAGTATCTTATTTGCAAAATATCACAATTAGAGTAAGTTATTGATAAATTTTAAGAAAATGTTTTTCTAATAACCTAATTTTTCGCAGATACGGAAAAGAATTATTGAAAGCTTTACTAACGCGGATTACTGTCCACTTTCCAAAACTAATTGGCTCAAATTGAGGAAATGGAGTTTGGATGCTTCTATTTCTCAGAATCAAGGGCAAATGTTAACTCAGAGGGTATGACAAATGTTGAAATCGTCATTTTAGACGTAATTGGCCGTTTCAGGTTTTATATAAAAAAATATTCGTTAAATGACCTATAAATGTTTCTATATACATGCAGGGTGTACAAGAGCTTCAAGTATTGGCCGATATCTATAAAACAAGATTCCCAAAACTTTTTGTCAAAAAATATACGCCAAAAAAATACAATATTTTACATTCAATCGAAGAGCGTAACAAAGCGAGTTTCCGTGTATTTTTTGATAGAATTTTCGGCGAGGGAAAATCTGCAGGAATTGATGCATTGGCCCAAGGTGCTCAAGAAGATTTGGTTGAGGTAAAAGAAGTGTCAAAAAAAATGAGTCCATTTTTAACTATCTATTCATTTTACCTTTACTAAAACTCAAAATTATAGTGTTTTAGAGCTTATGAACAGAATTTGCATCCAGATCAAAAAACAACAAATGTCGAAGAGCCAAGATTCCATAACACGAACACATTCGCATCAATGGTCGTTCGAATTAGCCAACAATATGGATTTGCAACTGATAATTATGAAAACGATAAAGAATCAATTTTGAGCATGTTTGAAATGTGTAGATATGAAGAGGCGTGGTATAGAAATGAAAGTGTTTGGTGTACGGTAAGTAAACGATGTCGCTATATTGAAATTGAATATATCTTTTACATTAACAAATAAATTCACATGTTTATTGCATTTTTCGTTTAAAGTTTTTCCAACCGGAAGATGTATTGGTCCTTGAATATGCATCTGACTTGCATACGTTTTATGACTACGGATATGGTTATACACAATTTCTGAATATCGCATGTACAACCGTGGTTGACATGTTGACACATTTGCTATCGAATAATGGTCCACGAGTTACTGCCTATTTCACTCATTCGCCGGAGCTGTTGCTTCATCTTGTCGCAATGCGTGCATACCGAGATCCAGTAAGAATTAAAGCCAACAATTTCAATGACATGCACGATCGACATTGGAAAAACAGTAAATTGGATCTATTCTGTTCACATTTTACCGCAGTCAAATACGGAAAAAATGCTGTCAAATTCTTTATGAATGAACAATTGATCTATCTTCCATGGTGTAATCAGGGTCTTTGTGATATAAATGATCTTTATTCTGGATTCAGTCATTGTACCTCTTGATAAAATTTATTATATCAAATCGATTTTATGTAATTTGACAACAATTTTTTTTTTGTTTTTTAAATAAATCTGTTCGAGCAGACCAATTCTTTAAACAAATAAACATATATGGGTTCTCATTTTAAAAGTCTATTTTACAGCAACTCATAACCACTTTTATAAACTTCTATTATAAAAGCTCTACTAGACAATAGTTTACTTACAAAGATTTCATTACATTTAACACAGTTTGGATTTTAACTAATTCATGTTTCTTTCAAAAATATCTTGGGTCCACAAAATTGAGAATTTAAAACAAAAAAGGGATTTTTTTAACTTGAGTTGTAATGCCAAACTTTGATCTTTTTTCGGGAAAATATTCATCACAATATGACAGATCAATGTGCAAATAATCTGTCAATAATTATGGTTGTTTTTATGTTTGTTTATTATATCTTGTGATGTTGCTTCAAAGACGAAAAAAATCCGTTAATTTCCAAGGAAAATAAACAAAAAAAAACTCACTCAATCACAAAGTTTTCTGAATTTTGTTTTATTGACGGTGATGATATTCTTTCTTTTGTTCCCTTTGGGCGTTCTTGTTTGCGTTTTTCATTTCAATTGATTGCACAAAATACATCACAGTTATACGGCATCAATGTCCATAATTGAAATGCCATTTCGATAGCAAATGTCTTTGTTGTGTAAACGAGCCAGCAAAATGTAAAACGGAATATGAGTAATGTACAAAGAAGCAGAAAGACTCACAAATTGAGAACAGAAGTAAAAACAAGGAAAAAAAATAAATGGACGACCGCAAACGAACTTCCGATTGAGTGTGTACATTGTATCGCTCTTGGTCAAAATATAGATTAGAGCATTTGAAACACTTGCTTCTTGCTAAAGTCAAACAATCGAAGTGTCACTTTTATCTTGTGATTGCATTCTTACTTCCGGGCCCTTTTTATCTATCGATGAGGTTCGGTGTATGTAATTTCGATGGGTATGAGATGAACATAAAAGAATTTTTTCCTATGATTGGAACTTTTTGAACTCTCTTTGAAAATATACTTTATCTATTGATGTATAAGTAATTTTCAATAGGCATCCAAAAGAAACATATTTCTTTTCGAATGGAAGGATAATGAAAAGTTTTTCAATTTAATAACGCATTTGTCATTTACACCTATTTACTGACGACTTACTAGTTTGAATTCAATTTAAAAGAACTTTTTTCTGTATTTCACCCCTTCAAAAAAGATTGAAACCTTCAATTTTGAGGTGATTTTTCCTAACCACTGAACATACGGCACAAACTCAACCAAGTGGAAAAAAATCAGTGAACTTTTTTCTTCATTAAAGGGTTCCTTTTCAAGAAGAGTTTCTTTTTTGTGGTTGTGATTCACAACTCGTGAAGTAAAGTTTTTTCTACGAAATAAAAGTAAACACTTCTATTTATGAGAAAAAGAATGGTGATAATACAACTAAGAGTGGTATGATTGATGTGGTGATTAATGTGTTTCAAATCAAAAGTGTTCACAGATTGTTGAGGTTCTCATTTTCTCGAAATCTAGTTCAAGTCACATTGTTCAAATATTTATATTGTGAGACGAGGCAGATCCTTCAAATATTTGTTTCTTTTATCTAGTTGTTTGCTTCATTTAGGATGTTGACGTATGTTTTTCCAGCCAATGGAATGGATTCTATATATCAAAGGATTAATATGGTAAAACTATTTTGGTATTTTTTTTGCTATCACAAGATTTTGCACCTTTCGACTGACGAAACTATTTGGTGAATCCAAAAATCCAATATCACCACCATGATGAAGGTGCTTAAGCGACATCACGAAATCGAATACCAACAATAAGAATGGTTTATCCTTATCATGATATTGGTTCTTCGAATAATAAATTAAGGTATAAATTAGTTTTTGTATAATAATACACCATATTCGATATCCGCCCACCTATTTAGTTTGACTTTCGTTGAGAGGGTCGAATAAAAAAAAACCAATGAAAAATTATACATACAAAAAGTATATGTTCGTGTTGGTACGCCGTATTTATTATGGATGTATACCAAAAATGATACATTAAGCAGGAGCTTAACGCTCTACACAATTCACTTTTTCCGAGATAGTGCTGTGTAACGAGCATAGAAGCAAATCAATTTTTTTAAAGCTATCCCTACTTTCTATTTATATTCAGCTATCGGAATGGCATACTCATAAAACCAAACAAAAAACCGCACATGCGACAAACGAGAAATGTTATAAAGTACCATTTAGATTATGTAAAAGAGATAGAGAAAACTCATTTGCAAAATCGATATGTAAAGAATAGCCACAAAAACCGCAAAACCACCGATCTTGTTTGTTACACTATCCACACAGAAACCGAGTGAGGCACATTTATATGTAGTCGAAAAGAATTGGCTATAAACTACCGCCAACGTTTGTCAAAGTGAAAATTGAACTCACACTCATTTAGTGCATACAGCATTACAGATAATCGAATCTTGAAGTGCATATTGAGAGAGAAGAGAGTAAAAGAGAGAGAGGGAGAGAAAGTTCGTGTGTGTAGGTAATTTGAAAAGTTATGAGTAAGCGATTGATGAGGGCGGAACGACGTTATATTTCAATTCAAACAATCCAACTTTGTATTCATAGGTTAATTTTCATTTGTTTTATTCATTGTTTCCATTCGAAGCAATCAACAGTAAAATGCATTCATAAATTACATGTGTCCGAAGTGTTGACTACATTATAATTCAATTGATTGTTTGTTCGGTAGCTTTTTGCGATTCTCCGAATTACATTCGTTGATATCTTTGAATCGAAATTTATGCCATTAGACCATTATACGGAGTGTAACAATGTGAATTATATTCAACAAAAAAATAATAATAGTCAATGCTCAGATACGTACTGCCTTTGGGTGGCTCGAATTCTGAACATGACTTATCCAATTTTGTATTTTCGAAAACTTTCCATAATTACCTTAATTCCATGTAACACAATCACAATGGTCACAACTTTTTCTTTCCTTTATTTTCATTTTATCTGCACCAAAACTCGATTTAATAACGATAAAACGTAAGACTATGTTAGTGCCATTTCAACAATCGAAGTTCTAACAATCATTTCACATAATAACTTAATAATGATCCTTTGACTTACACTTACAAAAAATCAATAGTTTTTGGATAAATTATATTAGTGGTAAACTACTGATATTATCACGATACTGTGTTATCATTTACACTGAAAGGTTTCCGATCAAATGGCATGAATTAGTGAGTTCAGCGATAAAACAAAACAGAAAAAAACACCAACTGAATAAAAGGAAGGAGCTTAATGATTGAGTTGAATACAAATTCTATTGTTGAAATTATTTAACGTGTTCTAGTTCGATGACTTTATTTGCGGTACAATGAAAGTAAATTTCAAGGAGTTTGCACAGAGTTTTGTTATGCTTTCGACATGATTCTGAAGTGACTTTGAATTCTGTCAAGTTTGTTGGTTTGAGAGAGAGAGAGGTAGAGAGACGGAGAGAAAATGAACGAGAGATGTAATCATCTCAGCCTAAATTCGACAATACCATGAATACTGAACAATAGAGCTCTTTGTTTGAGAAAACTTCTAACCACAAAAACCATCACACAAAATAAAGTTAGAAACCGAGATACTTTATTCATACACTCACACATCAAATGCTTATATTCGCCGAGTATTCGATTAAATATTCATTGGAAGAAAAAAAATTCGTTCCTTCATTCTTCAATTTCAAGTGGAGCTGTAAAATATGCATACATGTAACAAGCATATGTATATAAGGAATTTGTAGTGACTGTCTTGCGTGCAAAAATCGAGAAAATACAGAGTGAAAGAACGAGAAATAAACCATCGTTCATCAAACACCAATGTTTACACAATTAGGGGGGAGATGAGGTGGTTCGTTTTATCTACCCTTTAGCAGACGCGTGTTATAAGTAAATATGGATAAAGTTGTTCATTGTCACCGCTCGCTCAATTGTTGATCGAATTTCAAATTGAATGAGTTTTTATTAAATTCACGGCCTGTCTCTATTCTTCTTCGTTCTTCATGAGATAAAGAAATTTGAAACATTCATAGTCTGTCAACCGTTTCATTTGAATAAAACCGAACATACAAATACGATATTGTGATTCCTATCATCACATCAAATTGGAATCAATGTAAGGAAATTGACCCAAAAAAATAGAAATATCATTCATTTTTTCCCCTTTTCATGACAAACACATAAAAAGAATTAAATAAAAAATGAAATGAATCCTTCATCCGCATCATATTCGAAGGATCATCATTGTAACCGTTTTCAACGAGTTTTTTTTTATCTTGGAAAAGTTTTCGAATTGAGGAAATCGAAAAACATTTCGTTGAAACTTCAATCTTATGCTAATTTACGAGTCGATTTCTGTTTATATGTTAAAACCGCATGATCATATATGACAATAACAAATCCAAACACATAGACCATTTACCACAGAATGAATCAGCATTGACAACGGAGTGGAATAGAATGGAGAATGTGAGAGGGGAACAAACGTACACTTTTGAGGTTTTCAGTTTTTATGAGCACATCAAAAGTGTTGGAAATGAATTATAAATTTGAATATTACAAAATCGAAACTTATTCGCATTTGGTTGGGATGTAGATTTGCTTGGGTTTATGTATGAGACGATTTAAAAGGAAAAACAAATTCGAGAAAAGAGATATTACTATGTATCGACGAAAGTGATGGGAAAATCACATAAACGCTCCGTATGAATAAAATTAGGGCATTATTTCCGTTTTTCGTACATATCATAAGTCCATAACGGTCGAATTTCATATAATTCTTATGTTTATTTTCCACTCTTATTCCAAATCCAATTTTAACATTTTGATACTCATGGACATAGCACTGAATAATAAATGAATTTCATATTTTATAGCTGCAAATGTGACATGCGAAATGTTCAACGTCAATTTCATGCAAAGTAAATACAATGTAACCACACGAAAGAAATACTGGATATCTTCATTGGAATTAAAATATTTTACTGAATTCACTTTTCATTTATGTGTTCGGTGGTCGAA